GAAGAAACGCTTGCTACACATGCAGTAATTAGCATTACTTAAAGCTTAGGATTTAATGAGCAATATTTTATTTAAAGGATTTGTTGTTTATTCCTATAGAAAGGTGGTAAAGTTAGTGATATGAAAGAAAGAATGGTATCAATGATTAACATATCCACGACAACGTGCAGTTCCATGTGCCACACGCCAGAACCCATTTCGGACTGCCATATATAGAGCCGCAAGCAGTTTACGAGTGCTGGCATCTGCGTAATTTTATAGATACCTAAGCTTGAGGGGTGCGATTTTCTGATACACTGATTTAGGTGTACTGTAATACCCTACTATGCTGTTACGGAGATTTATCATAGGAAATTAGCATCTGGGTGACCAAATGCTTCACTGAGATCCACTGTTAATATTATCCACTGCAACGTCTTACCCTACAAAGCCGACAGCTATATTTAAAATAGAGTTTAAATTGGAACATTCGACTTTTTATGGATCTCGGCATGACGCATATAGTTTATTGGTTGATTGTAGCTACACGCAAGATTGTATTGAATTTATTGGCCAATATTTGCAGTTCAAATTTTTCAGAGCTTGAATTGGGCACTACGATCTGCCAAAGGCCTCTGCGGATATGCAAAGCTGTGAGATTTGAGTTTGGGTACTAGCTTTGTTGCATGAAGAGACACTCATTTTTCTTAGTTTCGATGATGATTTTATTGCGAATGCATCACTTACTGATTTGGGCAAATATAATTCCATGTCAAAAGAACTGACTCAGATAGGGTGCAAGTTCTTCCAGCGTTATTTCGAGACATTCTTCCTTGCGATTGCGGGATTTAGCGTGAATCCGAAATGCTTTTAAACATTTGCAAGCTGAAGTTTGCAAATGTTTGGATTTAGGCGAAGCCTTTCAACGCAACTTCAAAATTTGCCTAGCCATGCTTTAACACTCGATGAATCACTAAAGGAGTGGTAATGCATGATCTCTTCTTACTGTATACATGTCCGCGAGACCTACTTGATATCTTTTTGAACAATCCATGTCACTTTGCCTTTCCAAGATTAGATCTTAACTAGTTCGCCGCCTAATACAAGCTACAGTAGGGTTCTAGGTAAAC